TTTAATCTTTGGAATAAACAAGGGCATTTGCAATTACGAGTATCTTTTATGGTTAATTACTGCTATTTATGTGGGCAGTTATCAGGTGTCATATATGACTATTTTATATCTTCAAACTTGGTCAGCTGAATGTGTAATCTTTAGCTCCCTATGTGCTTCAGACTTATTTTTACATACACAGTTATGTTTTTATATCTGCAGTAATTCACCAGTCAAAACACGAAATACATGACTTGGGTACAGATCTTGCCGTTTTAATTCCCGCCCCCCTCCCAGTAACCAGTCACGTTTGAGTGATCTTTTCAGATTAAAAACTAAAAAGGAAGAGATATGTGAAATTTATCTGCAAATTCTCCTTGTCGAGCCCTGTCACTTTACTGACAGCCCTCCCTGAATTCCCCCCTCATTTGGATTTGAAAAGCGGTTGTAACCCTTTCAGGGCTGGACATGTTTTCTTTGGCTCATTTTCCTGTTTGCCTTCTCATTCAGAAGCTGATCTTCAATTGTGATAAAAATTAATCTAGAATATTTCCAATTTCACACACACACAAAGATGGCTGAAATCCCTGGATACCAGAGAATACCCTGCAGAAGGACTTCCTACATTCCAAAGGACAGGTAAAAGCTTCCAAAAAATCAGGAAAACAATTTTTTTTTTCCTTATGTACACCGAAGCTGATTTTTCTTCTGTGAGCATGAAAATTTTATGAAAGAATCCAGTGGGCAGCTTGCATCACTATAAACACAGATGGTCTTCAGTCATGCTGACCAAAACAAGTTTCTGGGTGAGCTTCGTTAACGCTGCCTGTACAAACTTCTACCAAAACTGATGCAGGATGTGGTCCTTTCCAGGACCTACTACATGACACGTGTGCCAGCCCTGAGATTTTGGCAAACCGGGTGAACTGAACTGAAATAGGACACCAGGAATGGTTTAGGATAGCCGCAAAGGTGTCACCACCATGTTACCATGGTACTTTTGAGCCTTCTATACTGATGCAAATATCTCTTTCCCCCTTTTATGATATATTTTATTCGGTAGCATTGAAGCCACTTGCCTGTCAGAGCGAGTGCGTGGTTGTTCCTTGACCATACCGCTACTATCCCGGTTGAAACACTAACCTTTACAGACAGTTAACCAGTGTTTATAAAGGAACAGCGTAGCACAGCCTGAATTGACTGAAATTCAAAACACTTCTCTAAAATAATAATTTTAAAAGAGTTAAAATATAAGCAAGAGCAAAACAGATGCAGATAGGGGTGAGCAGAAGCAGTATGGAACTTGGCACAGTGTTCTACGCTCCTTTGGTCGGCATATGCTTTCTTCCACATTACTCCTGCTCACTGTAGCTGGTGAAGGGTTGCCCTTTCCCACGGCGTGTTTTTTCCTGGGCTAACCCTTTCAATTTAGCACTGCAGGCATAAGGAGCCATTTTGTGCCTGGCAACTGCAGAACGTGTCTGCCAGCGGATACATTCTTCAGGGTTTTCTCCATTTTTTCCCTATCCTAGCGCTGGGGCAATGGCACACTTGCAAAATGGTCATGCATGTTGTGCAGTACGTCTTTAGGGCTCTGTATGCACATTAACTAATTAGTCGGTAAGGAAAAGAGCTGTGAGAAGGCTGTTTCAAATGGCAGAAGCTGCAGGGGAGACAGCTCGAACACCAACTGCGGGTCTGAATGCGTAAAGGCCCAGCGAACGGGGAGGGAAGCAAACAGGCTGAAAGGCTGGAGCGAGCCTGCAAGAGGGCTTCGGAAATACAAAGAAATTTAACACATTAAGACTGGCAGCAGCTCCCGTAGGTACAATGGTTATATTAAGAATGGACTGTCAATCTTGACTGTTAGCCTTTAGCATGGAGAGGAGATTATATTATAGCATAAATGCTACCCAAGCCTTAATTACAGCAAATCAATGCTTTGACAACCCACTTCAGGAAAACAGAGGTCCCATGGTACAAAGAAGTTTCTACGTTTCCTTTAACTTTGCTCCAGACTGCTGAGACCTCCAGTGCATAACTCCTGAGCCCTTTGGTTTCCCATTCTTAGTTTCCTTGGAAAATACATTTTTTTTCCTTGGGAAACTAGGGATAATCCGGTAACTAAAGCACTAGTCTGGCATTCAAGGTCCCAAGTTATGTTCCCAGCTAATGTGCAAGCTCCGCTGACAGCCCAGCACCAGTACTTGCCCCGTTGTCTCTATTCTGCTTACTCGGGCTGTGATTTTTGTGGCTGTCTTCTTTGGGAGAAAGTCCGCAAGAGTTTAGAGTGAATGAGCATTCTTGGCAACATGCATGAGGATAAAATTGTCTACTAAGAAGGTAAACGTGGTTGGTATGGTAGGACCTCACGTTAAAAATAAGCTGGAGTGGGGAACCAGGGGTGTGCTTGATGCCAGTAAGTCACCCGGCATCACTATGGCTTGACAGACCACGATAGGTTCGTGTCCATTTGAAGGGAAGAGGTTTGCTGTTTTCCCAGTGTGTAACACGGCCGTTGCAATGGAGGTTTACGCACATCCTGATGTCATGAAAACCGCCTGGGTTAGAGATGACTAAATACAACACCTCAAGGGTCCAGCGGCAGGCTGAGACGGACCCATCACTCTCGGCACAACTTTTCTTTTTTTCCTGCCCAGGCGAAAGAGCAGTGCTGAAAGCCCTTTCCTGGGCGGTGAGGAGAGCGATGAGATACAAACATAATCCTCCAAGTGTGTTCAGCTGCCTTCCTGGGTCTTGAGGGGAAGCCCTTAGCTGAGGGAACTGGATAGCTTGTGTCAGTGCCAGATAAAGAATTTTTTAAAGACAGAGCAGCTGGGCTGGCCCATCTCTACGCGGCACTCGCTGCCTTTGAGTCTCTCAGGAAAGAGCAAAAGGAGCTGCTGACATTTCTGCTTAAAAGGAAGAATCAATGAATCTTTGTTTCCCACTGCCTGCTTATTTGACCTTATTGTGTTGCGGAGTAGAAAAGAAAGAAAAGAGAAGGGGTGAGAGGAGAGGGGATTCGTGCTAATAAAATCCAAGACAAGATCACAGCCCTCTGATCATCGCTGGAGATGCTATTATTTGGTTGTTGTCCTATTTGCCGCCGTTGCTCATTTCCGATTCTTGCCT